TCAGCAGTTGTTGAAACCACCCATAGCTTGTTGTCATTTTTTGTTGTAGTCGTTCAAGTCTCTTTCTTTCAAAATTTTTAGTCTCCTTCGAAATAACATAATGATTCGGGATGCTTAACACTTGTTCTGTCTATATGGATTGATAATCTTGTTGTTAAGCTTATTTTATGCACTCAGAGAACATGATTACTCATTTGTAAATACTATCACGGCGCATGAATAACACTTTGTTTACAGTTGCAGTGTGAAAATTCTGGTTCTTCTCACTAGTATTCATTCAATTATTCTATCGGTTTCTCTTGACACTTACTTCTGTTTCATTATGATATAATTTCCATATCAGTGTTCGTTTTTATTTCTGTGGTAATTCAGAATGTTTAAATCTTCCCATTTATAATATTAGAACAAGACATATAAGCGAACAGTATTGTTTTCAATTAGATCTTCTTCAGGCTTTACTCTAATTTACATAGATTTATATATAAAATTTTAACCAATGACGGTGATTTTGGGAATCAAATAATAATCTTAATAATAATAATGTGGTAAGTGTTTTGAACGTAGTTAATAACGATGATCATAATGATAACAAAATATTGATAATAAGGTTTATGCAGGTGATAAGAATAACAAAGATAGTATATGTATATAAGTGTATAAATAAATTGGGTCAAATCTTAAAAGGTGAAGTGGAACGATAATCAGAGTTTAAATAAATATTATTAAAGTACGAAGGGGGTGGAAAATAAGAAAGGGTGGGAGGGTTTTGAATACAATTCACCTAGGCTAAGGGAGAGACAAAGGTAGAACAAACTTCTTTTGTATGCAAAGACCAGGATTGTTCTCTCGAATTCCCATAGCTTCGGCTAGGTGTAAAAGACGGTTTCTGATTCCATTCGAAAGACTCGATAGAATACGATAGATAACTTCGAAAGCACTATTTCTGTCCACTTGGTGACCGCTATCAATCAAATGAGCCAAAAAAAATGTAAATTAGAGTAAAGCCTGAAGAAGATCTAATTGAAAACAATACTGTTCGCTTATGTGTCTTGTTCTAATTCAGAATGTATCAATTTCATGTTACGATAGAACTCAGTCACTTGGAACAGTTTCTTCATGCAACAAGCTGTAAGATACACTTACTCTGTGTGTGGTAGGGGGACTGATGATACCAGCCAGTTACTCAGGCTGAATGGAGACATAGCCCACTGGCTTATGCACTCAACTTTCAGCCCAAAGGTGCCGGGTTCGAATCCAGCTGCACCGACTTCGACCTGGGTAGTTGGGTAGTATCATCGGCCTTCATACACAATAAGCGGGGCTCCTCATAGCCCAGTATATGAGAGACTTGTCCAGGGAACTGAGTCCAAACAACTGAGATTCAGACCCAGGACGCTTTGGTTGAAAGTTGAGTGCATAATCCGATTTGATCCACTTCTGTATAAAGTCATAGGGTGACCTCTCTGTAATCCAACGTAGTTAGTGTTCTTAGTTTATTGTATGATTGGGAAGTAAGTTGGATGTTGAATTCCAATAAGTAAATTTTATTGCGTGTAAAGATGTGGTTTAATTTCTAGGCAGTATCTTAGTTCGCTCATAAAGTATAAAACCAAATTACTTTTGTTTTATCACTATTTTTCTATGTTAAGTTTCTTGATACTTATACTGTACCAAGCTTACAACTATATAAATAAATCAGCATTTCCTACTTTCAGGTTGAATTAGATGGAACTGGGTTCAAACTCGAGACTCTATGCTCAAAAGTCGAGTTCTTAAGCAAGTGACGCATATTCCCGTGTCATCTATTGAATAATGATGCTCACTAGCAACTGCTCCTATTCAGACAGTTAGTTACCTGGGGTTCTAGTGGGAAGCCGTGACCAGTAGGGTGCAGCAGGTTGAAGGTGAGGTGGTAACTCATCGAAGAAGACATTGTGAAGTGGTCGCGCTATGTAATGAATTCGCAGAAGTTAGAATTCATGGACTGGCCATTGGATCGGATTCCAATGGCTCAAAGGTCTACGAGCTTGCCTTGCAAACAGAAGGTCCTGGCTTCGAACCCCGTGGGTGCGCACTGTGAAGAGTCCAACACTAGGACGAAACAGCTTTCCAGTTTTCCAATGGTTCTCTTGATTATGTCAGCTCATCATGAAATCCTCCAACCAATCAAATGAGAAATCCCTACTAAACCAATATTTGAGAATAATGAATATTTTATGCTCAACTCAGTTTTATTTGAGACACGCGCAGGCACTGTTGTCATTTTTCTGTTTATTCCAGTCCCTTTTGAATTTTTCATTTTTGTGTATTTGATAGCTAAGTTGCGACAGATATAGCTCAACCAGCAGTTAATGTAATCGACAAGCACTTCTTCTTGGTAGACCCTGATGTTCACGACCTCTCATTTGAACTTCAGATACCTTCATCCTGTTGTCAGTCATTAGTGAACACTAGATTAGTTTTCAAGTGTTGGTTTGTAGTGATTTGATTGGTTATAGGTTTGATCACGAACTGATATCCCTTAGAGAACCATTGGAAAACCAGGCAGCACTGAACGGCTATTTCGTCTCAGCTTGGCAGATGCTGGAATTGATTAGCTGCTCTACATTCCATCTCAGTGTCTGAATGGTCAACTAGCTCATCTTGTAAACTCAAAGTCGTATGTCCGAGTTCTGATGGGGTTATGTGTGGGTGTTACTGAAGAGTCACAAAATAGGACAGTTTTCAGTGCCTCCCTAATTGAAGTCAGTTCGTGGTAAAACTTGAAATCAATCAAATGCGTGCTATTCAACACTTGGAAGCTGAGTATTTTTCTAATTATACATTCTAAGGTAGTTTTTAATACCGAATTCTGGATTTGACAGATCCTGTTTAGTAGTAGAATCTATGATTCCCGTGTCATTTGTTATGTGGGGTTCATCACCTTCCCTCTAGTGTGTAGTCCGTGTAGTAGAAGAGCGATTGGTCGGCTCTGTTGGCTTAGTACCAGACACAACACATTTTGGAAATTACTTTATTTTCACTGTCATAAGGATGATTAAATGTCCTCAGTCAGATAATTGCTTCGTGACGAAATCTAACAACTGAAATGAATCCAGATATCAGTCTCCAGCTCATCGAAGGCTACTGGATGGATGATCCTGAAGCTGTAGTGAGAACTCGTGACCAATAAAGTCCACCATGTCAAGGTGAACTCGATACTCAAAGAAGGCATTGGTTGGGAGTAGCTCTATATCATGGGTTATTGAATCCCAACCTAAGTGTCTTAATGGTGGCCAATGACCTTGATGTCGTATGACCTATAGGTTCCTGATGAGATCGTGAGTGCATACTGTTGAAAAGTCCCAAAATAGAACGAAACAGGTGTCAATTTCTCCCTGGTTTTCAATGATCTCTCTAACTGATGTTAGTTCATGGTGAAATCTAACAACTGAAATCAAAGATAATTCATCGTTACAAAGATGTACAAAAGCTTTTTTTGTTTTAATGTATGTATGACCACTTAGATAAATTAACTGTTGAGTTAGTATCAATCAACACAATAAAGCGTACTGTGTTTTCAATATATAACTTCTAATTTTAATGAAACAAATATTGTTTTTCGGATGTGTTTGATTCATGCAGTGAATAAACTGATAGAGGTAATTAATTAATTGTCAACGTTTAAATTAGGTCACAGGTTCAAACTTCATTTTATGTATGCGTGTGTGTGTATCCTGAAATTAAAGTACTTGGATAGCATCATTATCATCATAAGCTGATATAGTCACAAACCTTACTCTGTGTTTTTACTAATTTTCAAGGTCTGACTTAGAATTCATTATTGAGTCGATAAATGTATTTATTAATGAACCTGTCAAGTTACTAATATTAAAGAAACTTTGACTTGGTTTTTGTCTTAGTTAGTTATTGGACGTCGGTATAATCAGAGGATAGATAACATTATAATGTGTGCATATATACCTTTTATAGCGTAATTTGCGAATATATGTGGATTCACATTTCTCGATGGCGTTAGTTTATAGCATATGCCTTGTACAATAAACTATGTGTACGACTTATGTATTCATCCAAATTCAGTTATTATTGATCTATTGACTGAATGACCCGGTCGACAACTGCTACCTTGTCGTGGTGGTCAGGCTTGAATACTGCATTGATCCAACAAGCTAAACTGTCTGGGACTGATGTTCCTGCGGGTCCTATCATCTAAGGAAGGTTGTTTGGATAGCGGTTAGACTAAAAGCAGTTACTATGGGATACATGGGCTCCAGAATCCAATCAGATCAAATGGCGTATGAACCTTTACTGGTCACCGGTAACCATGGGAACGTAGCTCCTGACACTGTTCCACCGCTTTGCAGATTAGGCTCCAAGTCAAAGGCTGAGAAAACTATTTGCATTCTCATTACTACGCCCTTGAACATTAATCACATTTCAAGTGATACCTTTCTTTTTAACCCCATTTTTACACATACGGTTTTCGTGTTTTACCTTTGTTATCCTTGGAGTCTTCACTTTCGTCAGCCCTTCGCCTTTGTCCGAATTCCCAGTTTGTCTTTTTGAGATATCAGTGAATAGCCTTCAAAATGGTGGTCCCCAGTGCAACATCTAACACAGGTATCCTGAAACCGCGTGTCGCGTTCAAGCTGGCCACCTACAATGTCTAGACACTGATGCGAATCGAACAAGAGACAGGTTTGGTAAGGACATTGGACAGTCTCGCTATCGATGTCTGCTGCACTTCTGAGACCCGCATTCAAGTGCTGCGACTATCTTCTTCACCTGAAAGTTCGGATAGTATGTACCACCTGCCCCTATCCGGCGATTCTGCGGTGTCGGCATCTGGCGTTTATGGCAAGTTGAACTGCTGCACATTTGTGCAAAGTTCTCCATTAAAAAGGCAGTTCAGTTCGGTATGGTCTTATTCATATTAGTAATATTTATTATTTCACCGTATGTATAGTGTACATCTTTTTGTTTGTTTATTTTCCTCTCAGAAATTCAGGAGTTTATGTCATTGTTGACTGTCAACCTGGTACACATCAATACAAGTATTATATTGATGGAGCATGGTATCATGATCCAACTAAAGTGAGTTTTTATTAGCAGTAGTAAGCGACGAAAATTAAACTGAATGTCTTTTGCTTTGCGTTTATAATCTCTTTAAAGTCACCTCGTCACGAAATATGGCTTAATCTCTGTTGAGTTGTTTTATTTATTCTAATAAATGATTTCAACACACGCCATCGATGTGATCCATTGGCGTAAGCGCTAGACTTACAGACATTGGACCTCGAGTTCTAGTCCTTCTCCACCTACTTCAGCCTGGCTGACTGGGTAGTTTATCATCTATCCGCGCGCCATGAGTGTCTTCGAGCCTGGTTCATGAAAAAATATGAGCCGGGTAATTGAGTTCAAACAAACAAACTTCTCAGAACTATCTTTGTATACCCAGTACCATATTCAGATAGTCACCTATTTAATCAATGAAAAATATTAAATATGATCTTCAATTTTAGGATAAACCAAACTGCTTTATCTTAATTACACGGATTTCAGTACCGTTATGCAAGTCTTTAATTAGTTTGCTTCATACCGAACTGAATATCTGTTGTCACTTGACTGACGTCAAGGTGTACTCCGATATATTTATCTGTACAAATCTATACACATCCTGAGGTCGATCGGTGTATACCAGGACATCTTTCAACAAATGATGTTACCTTTGACAATCTAGCGTAGATATGATATCCAGCTACCGATCAAAGGACGTGTGTACACCTCAGCTGTTCGCCTCGTCCCTTCTTTATGGCTATTAGACGTGGCTATTGAAAGTAGAAGACATGGAAAGGCTGGCTGTCTTTGATCATAAATGTTCGTGTTCTATCTCCCTTGTTAGGTGGTATAATAGGTTGAATAATATGGAGGTTTAGGCGCTGAGTGTTAGATAAGATGGGAAAGTCAACTGATGAGGGGTGGTCACAATCTAAAGCATGGCTTCATCAGTCAATGAAATCCACAACAGTTAGTTTAAGCCACTTAAGGAGGTGTAGACTTCCTGTTTGGCGTCTGCGGGATGCCGAGAACCAATAGCTGGAGATAATTGGTGATATGGCACAAAATCGTTCTCAATGGCTTGGATGCATTCACTCTCTGTGATCTACAATATCGAAAAAAAAACTATTGTTCTTCAGTGTTACTATTCTTTCTTCCTCACATTTCTGTTTATTATCGTTGTTTAGAATCCCTTTTTTTCACTTGTGCCTTCCTTTATCTGTTACATGGAGTGTGTTAACTTTAACTCCTGCATTTGCGTGCTAAGTTCTATGTTGAAACTAGTTAGTCACTCAGTCTCCTTTGGCACGCTGGTTTTAACAGCTTCGATTTAAGGCTTTGAATATTATTCCACTAACTTGCTTACCACTCACTTTTGTTTGTCCTTGAAGATCTCAGTGTTAGTTGAGAGATGAAGTAAGTGATAAATGTACTGGATAACTTCTGTCGGTACATCACGACCACTTTGGTGCAGATCCAACAGATACTGCTACTCGGTCACTGGAAAGTAGTTTATCAAGACATTCATGTTTATAAGTGTTGGTTTGTGTGGATTTAATTGATTTCAGTTAAAGAACCATTGGAAAACCAGGGAGTATTGGACAGTTGTTTTGCTCCTTTTTGAGACTCCTCGGCAGTACGCACCTGTGTGTGAATAAAAAGGACAGATAAACACCATAACTCATTGGCAAATGCATTAACTGTACTGTAAAACTTCATTAATGGGGAAATTTTATTTCTTCCACCACCCATACGATTACTGTGGCATGGTAGAACCTTAAAAAAAAAGTGAAATCTAAGCATCCATGCTAGTAAACATTGACCACGTTATCATACGAATGTAACATCTCTCACGTGAGTAACAAATGTGGAAGACTTTCGAGTAGCTGTTAAGTCACTAGAACAACAAAAGTTGTGTGTAGAACAGGATTCAAGAAAAGTGCACATGTTATTTAACTAGTTAGAACTCAATTAACTGAAACAAATTTTCTATGTGAACTTAATTTTCAGCATAGAACTCTGTGCGACAGTTCATGTTACCACACTTGATGAAATTACAAACATTAAGGTAGAGGTAGGAAACTCAAAGAAACTGATTACCATATCCCTGTTATCAGTCAGTGGTATGGTTTTCGTGTGGACACAACTCCCAGAATCACTCCGAACATGTCTCATGATAGATCTCAGATAATTGTCCCCTTGGGCTCTGCAGTCACACGACACTAATCCTCTTTCTATTTCAAATACTCTAAAAAGATATTTTATATATCAGGATATGAGTCCATACTTGTTGTGTAACAACAGAAGACAAGGGTCAGGCAACAGATGGTTTATTAAGGAAAATCAACACATATTTATAGATTTTAATGCACATTATTGTAGATTATTGTTAGTAGAAAATACAGTCTGTTGATTGGTTGTTTCTCACAGAAAGTTAACCTTGCATCTCTTGTGGCTGTGTCAGTTCATCTATATGTTAACTGTATCCGCCTACGCGAGGCCTTTGTTCTCACTTTCTCACCACCAATATTGGGGACAAACATTGACGTCAATTACTGTCTACCAACTTTAGCTAGCAGCCAGCTCTCACCACACTTGTACTATGAAAGGCTGGAGTAAATGGGGCAATTTACACACACACCTAGAACGAGTGCTTGAGTCAATCAGCCACATATCGTGCCATAATGATGTATAGCTGAACTGACTACTACAGTATAAGATAATTAGGCTAACTTTACCACGCAGATAAGTTGAAAGCCGTTTCTTCTTTGCAACTATAAAACATTTAATTAACATAACATGAAATTGTAAACTTATCATAAAGAATTTCTGTGTATTTTTCTCTGCAAACAAGCATGCACAGTACTTCTTACTTTCGCTGAACTATGCAAGCGTATCTGTAAGCTGTACACCTACAAGGCAATATTGATGGAGTTGCCCTAGTCAAAGTAGTAGGTGTGGAGGGTGATTTAAACCTACAACCCAGTGACTAGAAGTCAAGTGATAAGAAAAAAGTAACTTATCTAATTGTATGCAGTCCCTTAGTCATTTGTAAAATGTCTTAAATATTTTCTTCATTTGTTTCTTACATAATGTCTGAACTTTTCTGTATTTTTTTACATTACTACTTTGCTATCTTTTAGCCAACTGTAGATAATGAATATGGTACAAAAAATAATGTTGTATGCGTTAGTGAATCAGATTTCGATGTTTTGCATGCATTAGAACAAGATCAAGCGTGTAGCCGAAAACGTTCGGATAGTTCTGATTCTACTGAAGTAAGCCATACTATTATTATTATTATTATTTTAATATGAATGTCAGTATTGTTACTGATCTTTTGTATGACTGCCTATCATTTATGTGTAATCGGTTGAATTATGTATAATCTTCGTTGTAGTGTCGTTTATATAGAGAGGTTTTTATAATGTATTCCATATACAATAATAATATTCTTTCTTAATCCTTTACGTTCCCAATGGAACATAGGGCTTCAAGCTAAAGCTTTTTGAAGTTTCGGTAGCAGTGGTGTTTTATTTTTTACGGGATGAGGTTGCTATCCTCACACCCAACCTTCCCTCTTTACCAGTCTTTATTAATGACTTAGGGAGGTTTAGGAGTGCATCGGTCGGGGATCGAACCCCGAACCACCTGCGTATACCTCCGACACACACACACACAATAATAATAATAACAAGGTTATTCTGGACAAAATGTTTACACAATGCTCAGAATTCTCAGTGTAATCTTTTGCGTAATATTTTCCCTCCATCCAGAAATTTTACGTATAATAAAAATCTGTAGTATATCCTGGAATCTAATGCTTGTTCGTTCTAAAGCATAGATTTAACCCCTCATGACATTGTTCCTGGATCTCTAAGAAATGCTACTGGTAGTTTGGAATCTAATCAAAAATGTACGTAATTACATTTGCCGACTCAAAAGCATAATTGAATGGTTGAAACAATATGAAGTGGGGAAAGTATGCCGCATTGTGTTGATTGGTAAATTAGGTAGCCCATTGATTCAAACATGCCGCCAAATTGTCATGTGATGATGTAGTCACTCTCAATCTTTTTCCTTAAAACTGCTTGTACTGAGGTACTGCAGTAGTTCAAGTTGTCTTACTTCATCAAAGCATACATAGAGGTAAAGAAATGCTAAGAAATTAGATTAAACCGAAATTTGTGAGAGGAAGAATTATTGCATGCAGAATATACTAAGAATTTAATGAGTCTGGGAGATCACAAAGTGTGAATGTTGATTTAAGCCATGTTCCCAGCCATTGATCCTTTGCTTTTCTAGGAACCAAGTAATCGCATATTGATTTTAAGTGAATAAATAAATGAACGCGCGTAGATTTCATTTCCTTTGTATAAGAAATTAGTATTGGGATATCGTCCTTAATTTTGATTTCACGATAAAACATCTACAATCAAATATGTTAGGGTTGTTAAAAGAGAATTAAATAATTCCTGGTGTGTTCACTTCAGAATCAATATTTCTGTTATTATTTCTAAGACAGTTTTTAATGCAATGCATAAATATAGAATCCTGTCAAGGGAATATCTTGTTTACTATTAGTCTTGTGACTACCGTGTTGCTCACTCGACGGTAGTAGTCAATACACATCGACTAAGTCTTAAATATATGTGAACTTGAAGAATATTGATCCAAAAGAACTTGAAGCAACCATTCAGATTAGACTAAGCTGGTTTAGTTATTGTAATTATTAGGTTCTGACTGATGTTTTTAAAGCTTAAACAGTACATCTCCACTTCCTTCAGTCTATTTGTTGGACTATAGTTTCTTGGTTGGTTCGTCGACTGAGTTCTTCTTCATTACTAATCCTTTCTTGCCATCTGTTCTTCAGTATCAAGCGAAGACAGCTGTTGATAAAAGTCAGTACCAATCTGTTGGAAATATTCAAGTGTTGGTTTGTAGGGATTTGATTGGTTACAGGATTTTCATCATGAGCTGACATTAGTTAGAGAACCATTGGAAAAGCTGGGAGTACTGGGCAGCTGTTTCGTCCTAGTTTGGGACTCTTCATCAGTACGCACCCACCGGGATTCGAACCCAGGACCTTCTGGTTACAAGGCGAGCTCGTATACCATTAAGCCACTGGGACCCTACAAACCAACACTTGAATATCAATGAGATGCTCACTAGTGACTTGCCCTATTCAGGTAGGTAGTTGCCTGGGGTTCTAGTGAGAAGTCGTGACCAGTAGGGTGCAGCAGGTCGGGCGTGAGGACAAATACTCGCCGAAGACATTGGCTAGGGGTTGCGCTATGTCGTGAATTGGCAGAAGTTAGAATTCATGGACCATTGGATCGGGTCCCAGTGGCTTAATGGTATACGAACTCGCCTTGTAACCAGAAGGTCCTGGGTTCGAATCCCGGTGGGTGCGTACTTCTGAAGAGTCCCAAACTAGGACGAAACAGCTGTCCAATACTCCCAGCTTTTCCAATGTTTCTCTAACTAATGTCAGCTCATGATGAAAATCCTGTTGGAAATACTTTTGCTGACCCATGTGCCAAGTATTTTAACCATATAGAAGGACTAAATTGACGTTAGTTTTGAAAATCCTTATCTTGTTCTTTTTGTTGAGTGTAACAAATTTCCAGACTGGTTTCAAATTAATGAAGGTCTGTCTTGACTTTCCGATCCTGGCTTTGACTTCTCCGTCCCTGCCGGTCACCTGTAGTTGAAGTAATGCTGTCTAGATAAGTAAAATAGGTAATTTTCTTCAGATTTCTCCCACTGATAGGGATTGATGCTTGTTGTTGCTGTTGTTGGTTAAACATCTTCACCTCTGTCTTCCTTAGGCTCACTTAAAGTCCTGTCTTCGCCACCTGTTTCTTCTGCCAACTTGTTGGTTTTCGCCAGTAGATGTTCAAGTTTGTATGACACTAAGTTTAGATCTTCTACAGAGGGTTTTTGTAGGACCAAAGTGTGCCGCTCTTCTCGTTCCCAATGGTCTTTTGTATGATCCAGTCCACTACAAACAATAAAAAAGAGGTTTAAAGTCCCCAACTCTAAAATGTTGCAAGAATCACTCCCATTTCCAAATACGAATGTCGGTAATAATCTAAATAACTATCGTTTATCTTCAGCAGATAGAGTTACGAGATAGAATGTACAAGTTATGGTTAGGATTTCCTCTTAGACAATCTTTTATGGATTAAATATACTTCAAAACTGCTTAACTCGATTTCTCCGTTTCGACTTCATCATTACTTACCCAAATTCTCTGATTGAACACTTTTGACGTCTCAGGTCACCATTTTTTAACCCTGCGTACTTCTCATCTCTTTTGATTCAAACTACTGGATTTTACAGCTGTTTTCACAATGACAGCACATTATCTTTGATTATGATTCCTGACTTATTGTCATAGGTAAATTTTCTCAAAGCAGGTTAACTACTATAGCCGTTTATCTATGCATGAATATTAACGGTCAGCCACCAATGTTTCACAACCGCTTATTTGATTTTCAGACTATTTCTAGTTGACGTAGAGGACGCATTAGAAAGAGTAGTAAGTCTGTAGGGATAGAAGACTCGGAAGTGTATACATTTAAGACTGAGAATGGGTTAAAATAGAGCGTGAAGCTTATCAAAAGTTAGTAATTCCTTCACAAAGCATAAAGGTGATTAGGTGTCGTCTGTTAGTCACACCATTTTTTCTAAACCTGCACAGAGTAAATTCTGATTGGTCCATTTCTAGCCTACTTATTCAACCTACTTTTCGCTTTAGTTAATGTCTTCACCAATTTGGAAGTAACTTGTGTATTAACAACCTGATTCAAGAGATAGACAGGCTCTCTGTATTGTTGTGTACATAGGATACAAATAGTTGGACATTTCTGAGTTGGTGCGATTAGAAGTGTTTACACTTATAGTGTTCATACTTCACCCAGATTATTGACTAGTAGTCACACGGTAATTTACATTACTACTCCAACAACAATTCGACCGATGGTATAATACAATTTACAAACTCATTAGAAAGATATAGGATTATGAGTCAACCAATAATTGGACACAATATTTGAATAGCGTAGCAAAATATCTATTACTGTTATTAGCCCAACAATTGTAATTTTAGTTTTTTTTATTAACACTAATTTCCAAAAACCCGGATGTATGATTCAGAAGAGAAGAATAGTTTTTTTAGATAAGAACTTTAGACAGATGTACTTTTACGCGTTTAAAGTGTTGATTGACGTATCTAAAACGAATGTAGTAATAACAGCTTTATTTCAAACAATATTTTCAGTACATTGGGGAATTCTCAGCATGTAGTACAATATTGCATCTAGTGCTCTCTTCACATTTCAAAACTTTATGAAAACAATAATGATAGTTGTATATAGGAATAATGACAACAAAACACTAATGATAAGAAGAATGTAAAATGCCGTTTATTCACTGTTCTTCAATAAGTTCATAATTTCCTGTCTTACACTTTTTCCATCACATAATGTGCATGTCAAATAAGTCATCGTTGAGAGTTTATATTCAGTTGTACCACTGTAGTTTCCTATAATTACTCCTCGTCCTTTGTGATGAGAAACGAAAGGGGATAGTTGTGAAAAAAGAGCGTGCCGAGAGTTCAATAAAATAACTTTAGTTAATTTCTTACTTTTGTCTGAATGTCAATCAACAGTTATGCCAATAAGTTAGCTTAGACAGCACACTATACACCCTATCGACAGCTTTTAGTGTCCTCCACTAATGTAATGAAACCTTTTGAAGTGAACCAGGAAAGAATAAACGGGGTGCAATAAAAGACAGCAGGCATCATGTAGAAGTTAACAATTTGTAAAATTAGAGTCTAAATGATACCGCTGTGTGCTAACTTCCTTATGTATAAGGTTAAATGAAATATTTTTGTAAAAATCAGCAAAATGTGATCGGCGAAAGATATGTAACTTTTGATTTAGTTTCTAATTCATTTCTCTGTGTGTAATAAGAATCGTAGGAACCAACCAATTCATATAATTCTCGTTTATGCCTGAAAGTGAAATTAACGGTCTAACATCTGGAAGGATTTAGCTTGACACCATTTGACATGAATTGCTAGCTGATTTATGATAAAAAGCTATTCATTTTAAAACAATCCATTAAGTAAGTAACAATCATGGGAACAACCAGATCAGAAAGTCAGTAATGAATCGGGTCAGATATTACTTAGACACACGACTCTTCGTGTAACTCTGGGTTTTTTCGCATCAGTTTTCTCGGTTTAGTTTAGTGAATGTGACAGATC